AAAGAGTATAGGTTCTGAAATTAGACCGCCTGGATTCAAATCCTGGTATTTGTTTCATACTAATTATGGATGACTTTGGACAAGTAACTTCACCTCTGTGTTTTGACTGCATTCAATTTAACACTCACAGTGGTTCTTATACTTTAGTATTGATCAGCATTATTGGAGGGCTCGTTAAAACACTGATTGCTAGGCCCCACATTCAGAGTATGTAATTCAGTGGGTCTGGGCTGGGGCCTGAGATTCTGCATTTCCAGCAAGTTTCCAGGTGATGCTATTGTTAGCAGCCTGGGGACCAAACTTGGAGAACCACTGCTCTAGATCAGGGTTTGTTAACCTTAGCTGGATAATTCTTTGTTGTAGGCACTGTCCAGTGCACTGTAGGACATTTAATGGTAGCATCCCTGGCCTCTACCTACTAGATGCCAATAGCACCCACCTAGTTGTTACAACCAAAAATGTCTGGCAGACAGCAAAATCACCCCTGGTTGAGAACCACTGGCTCTAGAGATGCCAGTTCCAGGTGATCTCATGCTTTACTCTTCTGATGCTTTTGAGGGGGAGGGGGAGGTGGAGGTTGGGTGATGTTAATGGAGCTTCTTGGAATTAAAAGAGGTTATGACTCTTCAGGTAGAATTTCATGCAGTTAGGTGCAGTTATCTTTACACTTTACTGTACTGCTATCCTGAAATATCCTGTAGCTGTTGACTCAGAGTTTATGAGAACTGGTAGGTGATAGTTTAGTTTTTTTTTTGCTGAGGAAGATTAGTCCTGAGCTAACATCTGTTGCCAGTCTTCCTCTCTTTTTGCTTGAGGAAGATTAGCCCTGAGCTAACATCTGTGCCAGTCTTCCTCTACTTTATATGTGGGTTGCCACCACAGCATGGCTGATGAGTGGTGTAGGTCTGTGCCCAGGATCCGAAACCTTGAACCCAGACCACTGAAGCAGAGTGTGCGAAACTTGAACCACTCGGCCACCGGGCTGGCCCCAGGTGATAAATTTTTTTAGAAATTAAAATATAATTCACATACCATGAAATTCATTCTTTTAAAGTGTACAGTTCAGTGGTTTGTAGTATGATTACACAGTTGTGCAGCCATCACCACTATCTAATTCCAAGAACATTTTCGTTATCCCAAAAGGAAACTCCACAGAGATAGATTTTCTTTGGCATCTGCTTTACTTTTATCTCAAAGCAGAGGTGGACATCCTGTAGCACTCGTGAGGTACTATTTATCTCAGGAGCCAATACAGAGAATATAATTGTTTGGAAGCCACGTTTTAAAACTCAAAGTAAAAAAAAATTTTTTAAGTCCTAAGACCAAGAGAGAAATAGGTAGTCTTATGATTAAATTTCTTGCATTATTGAATTACCTGCTGTATTGAGTTGCTTCTTCTGATTGGCCAGGGTTGGTTTTCTAATCTTTCATCCCTTACATTTGGTCGTGCTTGGGATCAGCAGGGTTCCAAATGCCAAATCAGTGTCCTGATGCATAAGAATAGAAATAGATTAGAAATAGATTCCTAGCCTCCTCCAACTTCCCAAATGCTTCTGGTGTACATCCAGGTTTGGGAACCACTGCTTTAGACTTTTCAAAATACCTAATATGGGTTCATTTTCTCATTCATTCTTTAAGCAACACACCTCTCCATAAGGTATTTTTCCCAATTTCTATATTGAAAAACTAATACTAAGAGAGGTAAAGTGGCACATCCAAGGTGACACGGCAAATTAGGAGCAAAGCTGGGGATAGAATTAGTTCATTACATTCAAAGCATATTCACTGAGGGCTTATTCCGTATCAGGCATTGTGCTAAGGTTAGTGATAAAGAGATAAATGAGATGTGGCCCACACTGCTGCCACTTTTTCATTCTAAACAAACCTACAAGAAAGAGATTGATTTAGCAACTGTAAAATGAAAGCAGATACTTATTTCTTTGTAAACTACTTCGTTATTACATTGCCATTGAGGAGGCAACTGGAGATAGTACTGAGTAAAATTCAATATCAGTTCCTGCAGGTATTTATTTGTTCCATTTATTCATTTCCTAATTAACTGAACCTCTACCATGTATGAAGTCAGTGTCAGGGGCTGGCTTGGAAGGGGCCTCTTTTCATCACCTCTCCCAAATAAATATCTGAGTAAAAACCACTTGCTATGCGATCTTTAAGATAATTAATTCCTTTAGTTTTCACCACCATAGCCATCACTACCCACGAGACTCTCCTCTATAGAAAATATGAAGAAGCTACTGACTGCACTTGTTAATAGTTCTTTTTTTTTTAAGATGATAGATGATATGGTACAGAGAAGTGGACGCTCACCCACTGTTAGTAAGAGAGTAAATTGCTATAGCATTTATTAAGGGCACTTTGGCAATATTTATCAAAAACCTTCAAATGTGCATACACTTTGACCCAGCAATTTTACTTCTAGGAATATAACCCAATAAATAAAAATGTGTATGAATACAAATGGTTACCTGAGTGTTATTTCCAATATTTCCATTGTCACTACCTAACGTGACCTCATTTGTGTTCATATATAAACTTACTAAAATAGGTCTCCCTGCCTCTTTTCCTCCAATCCTTTCTTCGTCCTGCAGCCAATATGATCTTTGTACAACGCAAATCTCATGGCCTCACTCTCCTGCGTGGAACTCTGTGCTTCCTCCCCATTGCTCTTAGGATAAAGTCCTGACATGGCTTATGAGGTTATGCACAATAATCCTTCCTCTTTAACCCTGTCTTTCACTGTTTTACTCTTTTCCTTGTTATATCTCTTCCTCCAGTTCCCACTCCCCCACCCAATCCATACCAAGCTGCTTTTCCTTCCTAGATTGCACCCCACTCTCACTTCTAATCTTTGTGCTTACTGTTTACACTAACTATAATACTCTTTCATTTTACTAACCTTTAAACTGTGTAGGAGCGTGACCTACATCTGTCTATTCTCAGTGATTTATTTCCTTCTAAGTCCTGGTTACACTACTGGGTATAATCAGTGTTGGCTCAGCTGTATTATCTACTCATAGAAATAATTTCTACTGTTTCTTGGCCACATCATGTTGACCAATACAAAGTTAGTTCTAATTCAGAATACATTTAAAATAAAAATGAATTGAATATCTAACCTAACTGTAATAACTGTGACTTCTACATCTGTATAAAGGTATTTTGGCTCTGAGTAAAAGAATTCTCAACCTGGCCAGGCTTAAACAAGAAATTTATCTCACATAATAGGAGGCTTTAAGATTTTTTAATTCTGTGGCTCAATTTTGGCCTCCATGACCTAGTTCTTTGTATCCCTCCTTTTTGTCATCAGCTGCATTGGTCTCATCCTAAGACGAATTCCCTTAATAGCCATAAGATCACTGCTAGTGGCAGTTGAGACAGCACACTTATTCACATAAAGAGGAGATTGGGGGCCGGCCCCGTGGCTTAGCGGTTAAGTGCGTGCGCTCCGCTGCTGGTGGCCCGGGTTCGGATCCCGGGCGTGCACCGACGCACCGCTTCTCCGGCCATGCTGAGGCCGTGTCCCACAAACAGCAACTAGAAGGATGTGCAGCTATGACATACAACTATCTACTGGGGCTTTGGGGGGGAAAAATAAATAAAGTAAAAAATCTTTAAAGAGGAGATTGGCTTTTTTCTCCCAGAAGCTCAAGTAAGCATCCCCTTGTATCTCTTTGGTCCAAATTGTCTTTGCTCTGTGCATCCCTGGATCTGTCACTGGTGGAGGGATGATGAAAGTACCATGACTTTCTTAGATTGATCATCTGTGAGGAGAATGGATGCTGGAAAATTACCCAGTGTCCACCACAGTTTCTCTTTTACCAAAGGGAAAAAATTACAATAATAACCTGTAGGAAATTTCCCATAAGGGAAAAAATTTCCAACTATTTTGCTTTTTAAAATTTGTTCCAGCTCCCAAGATGAGGTAATCATAAAAACAAGCCTAAGAAATCTTCTGTATAGTTAACCATGGAATCTTCTTTCCTCCCCCCTTTTTTTTTCAGATCCAGACATTTAATGTGGATGCACCATGCCAGACCGTGGAAGATTTAACGAATGGGGTTGTGATGGCCCAGGTTCTTCAAAAGATGTAAGAATAGATTGCTTTATTGTTTTGTATGTTCTTGTACATGGATATTTATTAGATTGAAAATATGGACAAAAAATAAAGTGCTTACTTGAAACATGTGTTGCCTATAGAATAAGAACTGTAAGCATCAGTGATAATTTTGATGGCATGTACTTGTTTAGCTACAGATTGACTGGCTGCAAGGTTAATTGTAATTGTAATTATTATAATACTCCAATGTTTTTAGCAGAATTATTTGTTCTTGTGTTTTTCAGTATAAGCTTGGTAGAAATTCTCATGTTAATGACCATATTTTGCCATTGTAGAAGAATTTAAGAGGTTTACTCCCTCTTTCTTTAGGATTTTGCTCAAACGGTGTCTCAGTGAGGCCTTCTCGGGCCACCCATAGAAAATAAGCAGCATCCCATAAAAGGGATACTCTGTATTCCTTTTAACCTTTTGTGTTCTTCTCTAAAGTATGTAACACCATCTGATATACCGTATATTTGCTTGTTTATTTGTTATCTGCTGCTTCTCCCTCCCACCTGTCCACAAACACACACACACAGATACACACACACACACACAATGTAAGCTCCACATGAAGGCAGGGAATTTGTTTTGTTCACTGTCGTGTATTAGCACCAAGGGCAATGCCTGGTTGGTTGAACCATATGAAAATGCCCTGCTTTGTAGGTCAAAATGGTCAAATAACAGCAGTTTCTTATGGTTCAGTCTGCATCATGGGTGCTCATATTTACTGAATGACTAAAGGAATGAAATATTTGTTTGGGATATATAAAACATACCTGATCCTTTCCAAGTACTTTGAAAACATAATAGTTGTAAAATTGATATTGTATGGCCATCTTCGGCTTTTGACCTAGAAATTGTTCAAATAAAGGATTACCTGTGACTTTAAGAGGTCATTAGGTTTGACATGATGTGGGGGATACCTTTGTCTTTTGAAACCCTGAGCATTTGTCAGCCTGATGATGTTAAAAGATTTGTGTATGACTAGCTGGGATTTCCTGCAGTTTTCTTGAGAATCATCGTTAAGTGAATTCTTGTGTTGCTCACCTTGCGGCGAGCTGTATAGAGTTGCCCGTCTGAGAAGCACCTCAATTGCCTGCATTTCAGAGAATCTGTGTACCTTAGAACTGGGGACTCATGCTTGCAAACTATAGCTTGCTGTTGCTTTCTTCTGTAGCTTACATGACACATCTCTCCTGATATGTAGGCACACAGACTGATGGAGCTTGAGAAGGCTCATTTGCAACCTGACCAGCCCGGATTCTGGCACTCTGAGAAGGGTGATCCTGTGATTTTCACGGTCATCTCTGAGTGGTGCCCTAATAATTTTTAGCCTTTGAATGGTCTAGAGAGTTTCACTGACGTTCTTAATAAAAATTATTTGTGGGCATGTGGCCTAGCTAAGTGAGCTTTCGTGGTATCTGTCAGTAAGTGAATTTTTTGCTTAAGTTAGTTTGAGTAGGATTTCTGTCACTTGCTAGACCAGAAGAAAGACTGTATTTGTATATCATTTTGCCAGATTCAGATCATAACATACATTATGTTCTACAAAGTGGTTATTTTAATTTACCAAAGCCTTGTGGGCATATTTCTCATCAGTACAGATTTTTACCTTCTCCTCCCTCCCAAGTGCCTTCCTTTTTGCCGTTTGATGAGGTACAACATATACAGAAAAGCATACTAAAAAAAAGTGATGAGTGTGTGTGTATGTTGTATGCATATGTGTGTGTATACACACATCCATGTAACCACCACCCAGATTGAGATATATAACATTTCTAGCCCCTAGGTGATTCCCCTGATGCCCCTCCCTAATCAATACCCCTTGCCCCCAAATAGCCATGATTCTGACTTCTACACCATTAATTAGTTTTTCCTGTTCTTGAATGTCTTATACATGGAAGCATACAGTATGTACTCTTTTATGTTTGACTTCTTTCACTCAACATAATGTCTGTGAGATTCATTCATATTGTTGCATATTATCTATTTTAAATAATTGTATAATATATACAGCTTCGGAAGTTCAGTTCCTCTTTCGTCAGTTTGATATTTATTGAATGGCTACTTTTATGTCCAGCGCTTGTGATCAAAGGGTTGTGGCCACAGCCCGCAGAGTAATTGCCTTCAGAGAGTTTATAACCTGGGAAAAACAGATTTTAAATAACCAGGAAAAAAAAAATTGCTTCTATAACAACCGCTACAGAGGAGAAGTACACAGTGTGTGACAGTTTGTAAGAGGCATATTTAACTCAGTAAAGGAAGTCATGAACATTCTACCTGAGTAAGTAAAGGTAAATTAAATCTGCGAGATGAACGGTAGCAGATTTCTTAGCAGAGGGAAGAGCGTATGCAGAGGCCTTGTAGATCGATGGAATATGGTGAACACTACTACAGAAAGAAAGGGTTCGAGTGGCTAAAGCAGAGAGGGGGAGCATGGTACAAAATGAGGATGGAAAGGTAGATGGAGCCAGACCATGTAGGGCTTTGTGTCTTTGTTCCAAGGGCTGTGAGAAGCAACTGAGGGGTTAACACGGTCAGATTTATATTTTGAAAATATTCTGGCTGCAGTTGTAAAATGAATTTGAAGAGGCCAAAATGATGAAGGATGATCAATTGAAAAGAAATTTGTAGTAACTCGAAAGGGAGATGATGGTGGCTTGGACAAGGAGGGGGTAAAGGAGATGAAAACAAGTGGACGGGCTCAAAATGGTACAGAAAATCAAATTTTGATGATTGATATGAGGGTAGCGAGTAAAGGGAGGTATCAAAATTGACTTTTAAGTTTCTAACTTAAGCAGATACACAGAAGAGGGTGCAAACCACTGATGTGGGAATGCTGAAAGGGAATCTGCTATGGAGGACTGCTGGATGTATCATGAGTTTAGTTTGGGGGACACTGAATTTGAGTGGTATTGAGACATCAAGAGAAAATACCAAGTTAGCAGTTGACTGTACAGGCTAGAGTTCAGAAGAGGAGTCCAGACTGGCGATATCAATTTGAGTATCTCTTAATTGAATCCATAAGTGTGGACTAAATCACCTAGGGAGGAGTGTAGGATAAGAAGAAAAAATGTGTAGCCTGAGTCTTGAAGAACTTTAATTGTTGATTAGAACATTGACCAGCAGAGGGACCAGAGAGGCATGAGGTAAGCCAATATAGAGTGTGGGTGCCGAGAAGAGAGCTCTACTCAAAATAGCAGATCTTTTCATTTTGTCCTAGCTGATAAGTGAAAAACTGTATCTTTTGGTAGTTTTAGTAGAAATTTTATCAATTATGAATGGATCTAAGTATGCTTATTGTTAGTATGATTATTTTTCTGTCTCTAGTCTTTTAAGCTATTTTCTGTTCATCTGCGTTCCAGCTTCCAAAATGTTGTTGCTGTTATCTTCTCTCTTTCCTTTTGTCCATGTAGGTTCATGTCCTCCTCTTTTTTTTTAATTGATACACTTTGTCTTTTACAGCATTTTTTAGTTTCACAGCAAAGTTGAGTGGAAAAGAGTTTCAGTATGGGATGATGAAAAAGTTCCGGAGGTAGATAGTGGTGATGTTTGCACAGCAATGTGAATATACTTAATGCCACTGAACTGTACACTTAAAAATGGCTTAAATGATAAATTTTGTTATGTATATTTTACTACAATAAAAAAAGTTTTTAAAAATTGAGTGAAAAGTTTGGCAAGTTCCCACCACACACAGAGCCTCTCCCACTATTCATATCCCACACCCAACAGGTACATTTGTTACAGTTGATGAACCTACGTTGACACATTATTATCACCCAGAGTCCCTAATTTACATGATAGTGCACTCTGTGTTGTGTATTCTGTGGGTTGACAAATACATAATGACATATATCCATCATTATAGTATCATACAGAATAGTTTCACTGCTCTGAAAATCCCCTTTGCTCTACCTGGTTGTCCCTCCCTTCCCCTGACCCTCAGCAATCACTGATCTTTTTACTGTCTCCATAGTTTTGCCTTTTCCAGAATGTCGTATAGTTGGAATCCAATAGTATGTTGCCTTTACAGATTGGCTGCTTTCACTTAACAGTACAGTATTGCATCTAAGTTTCCTCCATGTCTTTTCGTGGCTTGACTTTTTTTTTAGCACTGCCTCCCCTCCTTTTTTTTTTTTTACAGCTTTATTGAGATGAAATTGACATACAATATATTGCACATTTTTAAAGTGTAGAATTTGATAAATTTTTACCTATGTTGATGCCTGTGAAACTATCACCACTGTCAAGGTAATGAACATATCAATCACTTCAAAAAGTTTCCTCAGTCCCTCCTTTCTGCCACCCCTTTCCCATCCCCAGGCAACCACTGATTTGCTTTCTGCCACTATAGATTAATTTGCGTTTTCTAGAAATTTATATAATCGGACTCACACAATATGTTTTCTTTTTGAGGGAGAGGGTGTGGCTTCTTTCCTGCAGCATAATTATTTTAAGATTCATTCATGTTGCCTGTATTCATAGTTCATACATATTCCATTGTATGGATATACCAGGATCTGTTGATCCGTTCATCTGCTGATGAACATCTGGGTTATTTTAGTTTTAGGCTATGATAAATAAAGCTGCTATGAATATCAGTATACAGATCTTTGTATGGACATATGCTTTCATCTCCCTTGGGTAAAATTCCACCTAGGAGTAGGATGGCTGGAACATATGACAGGTGTATGTTTAATATTTAAGAAACTGCCAAACTGTTTCCAAAGTGGATGTACCATTTATATTTCCACAAGCAATGTATGAGCATTCCAATTGCACTACAGTCTCACCAACACTTGCTAAGTTCAGTCTTTTTAATTTTAGCCATTCTAGTGGCATATCATTTGGTTTTTGTTTTTTTTTTATAGACTTTTTTTTTTTTTTTAAGATTTTATTTATTTATTTTTTCCCCCCAAAGCCCCAGTAGATAGTTGCATGTCATAGCCGCACATCTTTCTAGTTGCCGCCTGTGGGACTTGGCC